TTGAATTCTAAAAAAAAAAATTTTTAAAAAAAATTTTAACAGGGCGGGGAACCCGTTACCCGTCCCCGCCCCGAGACAAAATTTACCCTTGTAACAGGCCACCTGAATTTAAAATTTAAATACATATATTTATTACAATTGATTTTAAAAAAGGAAAAAAATTTATATGTAAGAGATAAAGTGTGCTCAATTTCAAAACTAAGAAATAAGGTTTAAAATTTCAAAAATTAGATATTAGTTAATTTTTATTTATGAAATAATTGATGAAAAATATATTTTATTAATTAAATATATTAATGTCACAAATCTATACAATTTATCACAAATTATCGAATTAATTAGTCACAAATTATTTCTCGATATGCTTGCACACCGTCGCGCACACAGACAAAAAAACCCCAAAAAGTGCTTTGTTGTGCCCTTTGTGAAGACGACTCCAAGAAGAAGAAGAAGAAGAAGTGGAGGGATGAGTAGCAGAAACACCCTATGATGACAAATTAGTGCCTTCACAATCGCCCTGCTCGATCACAGTCCATTAAGCATGGTTCTACCATCGAAGAATGGAGAGAGAGAGGATATTTTAGGGTTGGGTGAGAGTTTTACTGCGTAGGGGTGGGGTTGTGGATTATTTTTAATTTTATATCTTTATTGTTTATTTAAAAAAATGTATTATTATCTGATTTAAAAAAAAAAAAAAACTCTAAATCTTACTTTGAATTAGGAACTTGAAAAATAGGGATGGCTATAATTTCCACTTAAAAAATTTTGAATTTAAGAAAAAAAATTGAAGGGCTTCTGGCTCATAATGGGCCAAATCTATTTTTTGTTGTTCCGCTCGTATGTATTCGGTCTATTGTCATCCCCAATTCAAATCCGTATAAAGCCCAGAAAATCTAATCAAAGTTTTGAGATAAAATCCTAATCAAAACTGTTTTAATTTTTTTGGCTCGATAACATTGCATATGTATAAACGAGTTAAATTCCCGCTTTACATCCTCAATAATATGCTTGTACATGAACTCTGAATCATCTAATTTATTATTGAGGCCCCGTTCGGGAGGGCTTAAAATCCAATTAAAATTGAAAATATGGCCGTTATTGGGTCCCACCCGTCTAATAAAAGTCAACAATAACGGCTATATTTTCAATTTTAATCTGATTTTAATCCCTCCCAAACAAGCTCTGAANATTTCAAAAATTAGATATTAGTTAATTTTTATTTATGAAATAATTGATGAAAAATATATTTTATTAATTAAATATATTAATGTCACAAATCTATACAATTTATGACAAATTATCGAATTAATTAGTCACAAATTATTTCTTGATATGCTTGCAGACCGTCGCGCACACAGACAAAAAAACCCCAAAAAGTGCTTTGTTGTGCCATTTGTGAAGACGACTCCAAGAAGAAGAAGAAGCAGGGGGACGAGTAGCAGAAACACCCTATGATGACGAATTAGTGCCTTCACAATCGCCCTGCTCGATCACTGTCCATTGAGCATGGTTCTACCATCGAAGAAAGGATGGATAAGGGGATGAGAGAGAGAGAGATGGAGGATATTTTAGGGTTGGGTGAGAGTTTTACTGCGTAGGGGTGGGGTTGTGGATTATTTTTAATTTTATAACTTTATTATTTATTTAAAAAATGTATTATTATCTGATTTTTGAAAAAAAAAAAAAAAAACTCTAAATCTTAACTTTGAATTAGGAACTTGAAAAATAGGGATGGCTATAATTTCCACTTAAAAATTTTTGAATTTAAGAAAAAAAAAATTGAAGGGCTTATGGCTCATAATGGGCCAAATCTATTTTTTATTGCTCCGCTCGAATGTACTCGCCTATTGGCATCCCCAATTCAAATCCGTATGAAGCCCAGAAAATCTAATCAAAGTTTTGAGATAAAAAATCCTAATCAAAACTGTTTTAATTTTTTTGGCTCAATAACATTGCATATGTAGAAACGAGTTAACTTCCCGCTTTGCATCCTCAATAATATGCTTGTATATGAACTCTGAATCATCTAATTTACTATTGAGTAATACTATCGATTTAGGTGACAATATATTCCTTTATTCATTGGCCAATAGAGTTAATGATATGCATTATTTATTAATTGTGGCCATAATTAATCTACGTGGCAACGTACACATTCCGATACATTAAAATGCATCACAACTTTGTTGAACAATAAATTAAGAGACTCGTTGTCATATAGACTAATGATTATATGAATAACACTATTTACGAAGTCGTGATGCATTGAATAATGAATCAGGAAACGTACTGCTATTTAAACGAGTAATGATCACCATCGATAAATAATAACATTATTCTTAGCCAAGTACTCATTTATACACACTTTTATTCAGATAAATCTAACAGATCCAGGTGAAACTTTAGGATGCAAAAACATGGCTTTGGCTACACACGAAATGCTACTGCTTGTTATTCCTTTTCCAAAATCCTAGGTTTAGCTTTACAAATAATATTATTATAATACAACAACGAGAACATGAACATATCGACTCAATGAAACATCGTTGTCAATAGCAAAATTGTAAGAAATGTCGGATCGTGGCAATTGGACACAAGTCGCAACAAATTTCCAAAACCTTTCAATTATGTAATCATACTATTTATTAGTTATAAATTAAGCAATCCTCATTTTTTTAATCACTTTTCCCCCTCCCTTGTTCAACACTTAACCAACTAACTCCACTTTTTTTACACTCCATTTGGTTGTGTCCTTCAACTTTAAGCTAAGGAAAAGTCGCATTGCAATCATTTAGTTGGTTATTAAAACCCAAATCTCCATTAGGATTAATCTCGAAGAGCAGATTACACAAATTCTTTTGAGTTCTAGAATCGAAGAAGAAACTGCGCAAAAGAAATGAACACGGCTAGATTTATCAAGTGTGTAACCGTGGGAGATGGTGCGGTAGGGAAGACGTGTATGCTCATTTCCTACACTAGCAACACTTTTCCAACGGTATGCTTTTGAAAAATGAATTTCGCTGTACCTATAGCATCGTAATATTAGTATAACATTTGCATGTTTCTAATTTCGTAGGATTATGTCCCAACTGTATTCGACAACTTTAGTGCAAATGTTGTTGTGGATGGCAGTACCGTGAACATTGGCCTTTGGGATACTGCTGGTAATTTAATTTATACCCTGAGTCGATTAATAGTCACAGATTCTCAACCAAGATCCTCGAATTTCAGATTATACCACATTTCTTTACCTACCCTTTTTCCTGAATTTATGCAATTCAGGGCAAGAAGATTATAACAGGCTGAGGCCTTTGAGTTACAGAGGAGCTGATGTATTTTTGTTAGCTTTCTCTCTAATCAGCAAAGCCAGTTATGAAAACATTTACAAAAAGGTTAGGGGTTGTTCTTTTCGTGTTTCAGTTTTTAGTTTTGAATTTTGAATTCATTTTGGATTTTGTGTTTTGAGTGTCCATTTAAGATTATTGAAAACGCGTTCCCTTTGTCATTTTGAAAAATTATTTTCAAAAATAAAAAAATGAAATTTTGGCTTGATTTTAACTGAAAACAGTCAAAACGGCTTTTTTTTTTTGTGTTTTCCGTTTTCTTTGTAAATTTTAAACTCGTTTTTGAAAAATTGTTTTTGAAAATAGATAAGTAAACGTGTTTTCAATATTTTCGAAAACTGAAAATAACCTGAAAAAAGAAAAGAGAAAGGGCCCTTAGTTTTTTTTTCCCCAAATTATTCGGATTAATTTCATTTTGTTCCTGCAATAACATGACTACATGATTGTTTGTTAATCACAGTGGATACCTGAATTAAGACACTACTCTCCAAATGTACCAATTGTACTCGTCGGAACCAAACTCGGTAAGACTAATTATTAGTTCGATAATTAATCAAAGTTTTATTATGTCGTGTCGAATAATATATGGTTGCAGATTTACGCGATGACAAGCAATACTTAAGCGATCATCCCGGGACGACTCCTATAACTACTGCACAGGTAAAATATATACAATCTTAGTACACATACATTCCAGTTGACATTCTGATTTACATTATACTATATGACACATTATTTTAC